GAAAGGGGAGGGGTGACAGATGAGTGAGTGCTAATTGACAAGCATGCGCGATCTATAGGGGAGCTCGATAACCAAAATCGCTAATTAGCAGAAAAGGCGATAGGTGGCGGAGAGGTATCGAAGTTCGATAATTTCAGGGCGCCAACATACTCCCCCCCTTGGAATCACGGAGGGATTACAAAACGAACCATATGGTACAAGGGCGACAAAGGTTAAAAACTAGAGACACGAACTGAAAGTACAGGGCGACATAAAAGGAACGCTAGGACGAGGTACACGAAGGGCGAAGCGCGAGAATAGGGGCGCTAACTTTGGAAGGGCGAGAAACACAAGAAATAACGGGTACAAGAGGTGCGAAACACGTAGGGAAGGGGTGTGGATTACAAGGGCGACGATGGGTGATGGGCAAACCACGAAGGCGAAGAAGGCGAGATGCGGCTGCCGTTCTGAGTCTTGGGGTTGGAGCGCGAGAGGCGCTGGCTGCTCCAGAGTGGAAGAACGGGCAGCACCACTTTCTGCCGGAGGTCGTGCACCAGCGGGTGAGGTGGGGTGCTTTGGGGGTCAGTCTTCCTGAGGCAAGGGATAGAGCTTTAGGACCGGGCGCTCATACGTTCCGGAAATGGTTTTCACCGAAGCTACTCGAACGCGCTTGTCCTTACCAGGGTAAACATCTAACACGCGGCCAAGCTTCCATTCCAGAGGAGGTAAATTGTCATCTTTAATGAGGACCAAAGTTCCTACTTCTAAGTTCGGGGCCTCTTTGACCCATTTGCCGCGAGGCTGGAGGGTGTGCATGTATTCAACGCTCCATCGCCGCCAGATTGCTCGAAACATTCCATTTACAAGTTCCCAACGGCGGAGGCGAGACATGTCTTGATCAAAATAAATCGGTTCCGGAGGGCAGCACAACGGGCGGCCAATGAGAAAATGACCGGGCGTCAGAGGGCGAAAGTCATTAGGGTCTGATGACATAGGGGTGAGAGGGCGCGAATTCATCATCGCCTCGATGCGACACATCAATGTTAAGAATTCCGCGGCATAAAGTCTCTCATTTCCTATCGTCCGTTTCAAATGAGATTTCATGCTCTTAACAGCGGCTTCCCACAGTCCTCCACTGGTGGGATTGGAAGGCGGGATATTCTCAAACCGAATATTATTTTTCAAAAAAAATTCCTGTAAGGCAGGATCAGCTGATTTCATAATCCGAGCGAATACGTTGGCCGCGCCGACGAAATTCGTGCCATTATCGGACATGATCAAACAAGGATTTCCGCGCCTAGCGATAAAACGTTGAAGGGCGGCGATAAATTCAGGGGTGGAAAGGCCGTCTACAACTTCGAGATGTACCGCCTTTGTGACTAAACAGACAAAAACGCTGACGTAGGCCGGGACAGTGCGTGCGGTGCGATTGGAGTGAAGTTTCACAGAGAAAGGGCCAGCGTAATCAACGCCTGTGCGCTCGAAGGGCGCGCTAGGCTGCACTCGGGGGGCAGGAAGAGAACCCATTAAGGGAACTGCATTGGATGGGCGAGCTCTGAAACAGTGCACGCATTTGTGAACAACGCTGCGAAATAAGGAACGGCCAGCTAGAACCCAGTATTTTTGAGAAATAAGGGCTTGTAATAATTGAGGGCCGGGATGAAGGTTCACTGCGTGATATTTTTCTACGAGCAAACGCACTAATTTGTCCTTGCATGGGAGGAGGAGGGGGTGACGGGCGTTAAGCGTGATATCTGCGTTGTGCAGTCTTCCGCCCACTCTCAGAAGCCCATCTTTGTCAAGGAAAGGCGTTAGCTTTTGTGTTCTCAATGAGCAGAGTGCTTTAGGCTCACGCTGTAACAATTTAACGTCATCAGAAAAATGCTCGGCCTGAATAAACTTCACAATCCAAATTTCCGCGGTGCGCACTTCTGTCAAGTCCAACGGGCCTTTACAGCAAGGTATTTTTCGCGAGCGGTGAATGAAGCGAAAAATATAACAGATCACGCGAACAATTTTATCCCATGAGGAAAGATCTGGAATAATTGTAGGACGCGGAAGGGCGACAAGGGCATCAAGGGCGGGAGGGGGCGCCATTTCCTTCTTAAATTCCATGGCGTCTAAATCTGGGGTGCCGAGGGGCTCCTCGGGCCATTCGGAGTGGGGCAAGGAGAGCCAGGGGGGCCCGTGCCACCACAATTCATTTGAGGGCAATTCTGAAGGCACCATGGGCCGTGTTGCCACATCCGCGGGATTATCGGCCGAACGTACGTGACGCCACGTAACATTCTCAAGCTCCTGAATGCGGGCAACCCGGTTAGCAATGAAAGTTTTCAAAGTGTGAGATTCTGTATTTATCCAATGCAAAACCGTTGTATTGTCTGACCACGCATAAAAATTCTCAGCGCCGAATTTTTCTTGGGGTTTTGGCAACGTCGCGTGAAAAAGTTGAACGAGCAAATCGGCGGCGCAAAGTTCTAAACGCGGTAAAGTGACCTGACGCAGGGGCGCGACTTTCGTTTTAGCAGTGACGAGATTTACAAGGGCTTCAGAATCCGGGGAGGGCGAAGACCTAAGATACAAAAGGGCACTATATCCTAATTGACTGGCGTCGCAAAATCCATGGACTTCAAAATATTCCGCGCTCACATACAAGCAGCGAGGAATCAAAACCTTGCGCAGCGCTGGCAATTCTCTACAGAAATTGGACCACAGTTGCCAGATTTCATCGGGAACTCGCTCGTCCCATGACAATTTCAATTTCCATATTTCCTGCATTAAGGATTTAGCAGTGAAGGTCACGGGTGCAATCCATCCGCAGACGTCATAGATTGAAGCAAGCATGGAGAGAATACCGCGCTTGGTGGCTGCGTGAGGCTTTAAATTAATTACATAAGTGAAACAGTCCAATTTTGGCGCCCATTGTACGCCCAAAATCGAAAACCGCGGGCTTTCATCATTTTCGTCAATGATTGGGCATTCTAGGTGGTCCGCGGGCAAATTTTCTAAAATTTCGGGGTGGGAGGCCGACCATTTTCGCAAGAAGAATCCTCCCAGGGCGAGAAGAGCGATCAACTCCTCGAGGTGCTCCTTAGCGACACGAATGGTAGGTCCGCCCCCGTTGACGTCATCGACGTAAACAGACTCTAAAAGGATTTTGGCTGCGTTGGGATATTTATGTCCGTGATCCCTGGCCAGTTGATGCAGGGTTCGAATTGCTAAAAAGGGCGAGCAATTAATTCCGAAAGTGACAGTATTCAAATAATACGCTCTCAGCTGCTCTGAGGGGTGAGCACGCCATAAAATACATTGATAAGGGCGATGAGTTTCTGTGACGCTAATGCGCAAGTACATTTGCTTAATGTCACAGGCAAAAACCACAGGGTGGGCGCGAAAGTTCAGTAAGACGTCACGGACGTCATTCTGGAGGGCAGGGCCAGCTAACAAAGTGTCATTCAATGAAACGCCCGTGGAGCTAGGGGCGCTGCCATCGAAAACGCATCGCAATTTTGTCACTCCATTGGTAGTTTTGGTGACACCGTGATGAGCCAGAAAATACCTTGGCGCCTCCTCGGGGGAGGGGTTCGGGGGGACTGGCGACATGAAACCATCCTTTTCAAAATCGACCATGTATTTCCGGTATTTTTCCGCCAATTTCGGATTTGTCTCGAAACGCCTTTCTAAGGAGAGCATACGTTTGCGAGCTAAATCAAGAGAGGAACCGAGGGCAGGGGGATCAGGGCGAAAGGGCAAATTGACTTCATAGTGACCATCGGGAAGCTAAACAGTGGTTTCAGAATAAATTTTCTCGGCCAGCCTTTCTTCTGGCGTAGACTTAACGGGAGGGGGAACTTCCTCTAAACGCCAGAATTTCTCAATGACGTCAGGCTGAGGAGTGTGCGCGTGTACAGGGAGCGCGGTCAACGACGTAACAGGGGGTGTCGGAGGGAGTTGAGTCACCAGGCATGAGGTGGAACCAACTAGAACGAGTCCAAAAACGGTCCCTAGGCCCATGAGGCCATCACGAGCAGGGACATTATCACCAGTGAGAATTTTTGCGAGCAAATCTACACCGCATAAAATACAGGGTTATTCAAAAGTTACGCACCACTGGCCATAACTTTAGTTCTAATTATGATATCGATTTGCGGTTTGTGGCGTCCTTCCTCATATCGAGGGGGAAACTTTTTGAGGTACTTTTCAGTTCTTCACCCCCCCCA